GTAATATTAGCTCAACCTAAAAACCTATCTTAAACAGTTATTCTCCTCAACCTAGGCTCAAATTCCTCTAATCATTTCCATTTTCTAAAACAACTTCTGCTTTTCCCAATCTTGTCTTTACTTCTTTGTGTATATATACTTCCTTCAACACTAACTATGTTACCAAGATATGTAAAGGTTCCCACATCCCAAATGATCTGATCCATATCATTTGTTTCTAACCTCACCATCTTTGCTTGCGAATAGTATTAGCTAAACTAACCTTCTGAGCTTTGTGTCCATGACAAGGTTTCCTTTTGGTTTTGCATCTTCATGCACATTTCTTCCTCATCCTACATTACATTAGAACTAAGAAGTTCCTGTCCACTCCTCTTTCAAAAATGAAACTACCTTCCACAATAGGTCTTACCTCATTAGCTGTTTCTGTAATCAGTAAACTTAATGTGAGAGAGTAATTAGCCCAAAGTAATCCAAGACTTGTTATACCACTGGTCACTTAGAAGTGCTCAAGGCTGACTGCACTTTTTTGGTGCAAATGTATCACCTACATGAGAAATGAGTTCATCACATCCCTACAGGTAGTCTAATAAGGTGTATATTTTATTAATATATCAAAAACTTAATTGTATTAATGTACTTAATAAAAACAAAAACTTAAATATGGATATGATAGCAATTACATCTATTTCATGAAACTCATGTTGTTTATTGTAACTATATTTTGACCAATGGAAAATTCTTGTATTTTTCTGAAAAAACAACAACAAAAAACTGAAGGTAGTGTTTAAGTAGCAACGTTTGCTATGTTCAAGCCCCATCTATAGTATCTTGTATCAGTTGTCTGTCTTATAACATCTAATTGTTGGTCACTTTAAAATATGAAACAGTTGTGACTTAAGCTCCTGTTTAGTAATATTATTAAGTTTAAAAAGTTACTTCAGATTTATGGGATATATTTTCTGACACAATAAATATTCTTTCACAATTATTTGATTACACATATATTTCAATACTTATTTATTATTGCTGAATTTTTTTTTCTATGCCTAACATTGTACTTTTGTAGATTAATACCTAAACTTAAATTTTCTGTTTTCCTCTTGCACATAATGCAAAGTATAACACTTAAAAATCAAGAGTAAATTCAAAATAACTTTAGGACAAAGCCTTTCTTCAACTAGGATCTGTTCTTGAACTTCTTGATTTTCATCAATACAGTGTTTGAGATAAACAGAAAGAGATAGTTCAACCTAGTGTATGATGGTTCTCCACCATCTTTCTTTAATAAAAAAAAAACAGTATTAAAAACAAAATCCTCAATCTTATAAAAGTGAATTGTACATATTCATTGAGGAATTTAAAAAACAACATAAAATATCATAAATTTTCTAGTATATTTATTAAACAAAACATTTCTTTTAAATAATGAAAGAACTGGTATATCTTAGGTAAAAATCAAGTAAAAAACACAATTATTAGGAAAAATGAGAAAGTACAATACTTTGGGTAAAGGATCCTCCAAAAACCTTGGATAAAATCTATCAAATATACTGCAAAAGAGGGAATTCTGTTGTCCAATAGCATGCTATACTGGCTCTCCTGATTCCTTCAATGTAAAATTTCTAGCTAATATTCTGAAACTTCTCAAAGAACTCCAAATGATTTGTTCAAACTATTTCCACAATAAAGATTATGTGTTTTGATATTTTTTCAGCTTTGATGTATTATCTTTATTCACTAGAGTCCTAGTACTTGAAGTCTGTTCAAGTTATTAAAGTTATACTAACCAATATTAGTGCTGATAACTTAATCTCTTGAAATTGTGCTTATAATTCAGTTACTTCCACAAGAATGATAAGTTTTATATATGTTGGATTGTACATTCTCCAAGAGAAGCAGGACTTTCTGCTAAGGCTAGAAAACACAGCTATCAACTCTGCCCTACATCAGCCATGACTAAGATAAGCCAAACTTGATCTATTTCTTTCAATAAAAGTAGAGCAATACAATTTACAAATAAATTGTAGGATAACAACACTTTACCCTTCCTAGACATCTGTATATCTAAAACTGACAAAAAGACATTCACAATAACAGACATGAACATTTGTTTGAAGCCACCCACATTCTTTGAATATGGAGAGTCAGGAAATTTACCTCTACAGCCAAAGAATGTGCCGTTCTGAATACCTAGAAGACAAATTCAAATGACTCAAAACTGTCTTATATCACAATGGTTATCCAAAAAAGTGATCCAATGAAAAAATCATTCTTGATTAATGAAACAAATATAGTCAGTAAGCAGCAGAAAACAGTTATTTTACCATACATACCCAGTCTCAAGTCCAATTAAGACAAATGTTTTAGTAAGTTTGACATCTAAGTCATACTTAAAAGTGAAACTAAAAAGTACCTTAACAAAAGTTAAGCTTCTGTCTAATATTGTAAAACATAAGTACATTGTCTGTAGTATACCCTGTGAATGTGCAAGCAGTGTATTGGACAAATTAAGCAGGTACTTTCTGTCTGAAGGAATATATAGAAATGAAACATGAGAAGAACTTTGTTGTTCAAAATGATCACAACATAGTTTTGAATGAAAGTAGGATAACAGACAAATAAACTAAACAAAAAAATTAAAAGTCAGAGATCATTGTCATTAGAACTAGCAAATGTGGTCCTCCTTTTGGCATCAATCAGAAAAACACGAAAGCTTTTAGTAAAATGCACTGTACAAGTCTTATTGTACACAAAAATAAGATGTGTTAAAATGTGCTTGTACTCAAGATATGTCTATGAATTGATGACATTCTGAAGTTAAAATTAATGTTGAAAGATATTTCCAGAAAAAATTAAGGTTTTTTTAAAGATAAAATTACTTAAAAAAGTAATCAAAAAACATTTATAAAATGTTAAATTAGAAAAAAACGTATGTACTGGGGAAAAAAGAAATCTGAACAACTAGGTAGACAGTAAACAGTTTCAAGAAAGCATTACCATAAACCATTATGAAACATTACAAGTACCAGCACCATATTTCCACATGTATGTTTTTTGGTTCTTTACTAAAAAACTGAGGACATTGCTCTTGGAAATCATTCATATTGACTATATTATGTAACAGAAGATTTCAGGTTTATGTTAGATGGTAGGTATATAAACTAGTTCATTGGGGACTTCGTTTGAAATGACAAATCTTTGTAAGCAGTTTTAAAGTTATTATTTTATCTTTTAAATAAAGCTCAAAGTATCCTATAAGTTACAAACTCAGTATAAAATTAATTTTAATAATGAAATTTATAAAACGCTATTCCATGTTTGTTTTGTATAAGTACAAGAAACAGCCATTTGATAACTTAAAAAATGAAATAACAGATATACAATTTACAATCAATTAGACACACTGCAACTGACTTAACTTCCCTAGTCTCAACTGCTCATGTCTGTAAGAATACATGTCAAAGTAGCAGGTTCTCAGTCTAACCTTTTTTGATAAAAATGGTAAAATGCTAGCCATCCAAATTTAGCAGTGATAGATTAGAGGGAAGGCAGGTAGTCAATATAACCCATCACCAACTCTTGGGCTATCCTTTTACAATGAATAGTGGGATTAACCATCACATTATAACACCCCAAAAGCTGAAAGGGTGAGCATGTTTAGTGACGAGAGTTCGAACCCTTGATCCACAGATTGCAAGTTGAGCACCCTAACTACCAAGCCATGCCCTGTTTGATTTTTTAATTTATAAAACACATCAGGCCCTCCATCATAAAAAACACACTTTTATTAAATCTTCTAATCAGTTTTTAATATATTTGAACAAACAGGGGAAAAATAATAATCTTTTCAGATTCAGATATTTCTGACTGTGTGTACATATGGTGGTTACATGGGTTAGACATATTGCATACTTTCAGTTTTAATAAAATTCAATCTATGAAATTTTAACTAGTCTAATGTGAAAACATTTGCAGCTAAACCTGGGTGATTAACTTGATTAATCAATTACATGTGAGCATAGATTACATCAACTAGTGTCACCTAAAATAATCAACTGATTGAAATTATTGTTTCCAATTATTATTGTCTTGACTATTCCAGTTAACTCAGTAACTGAAATATTACCATTATGAGTTCATTAATTCAAGATTGTTCTGCTAAATGAATTAGTATCATGACACACAAAAATAATCAACTAATTGTAATTAATTTTTGATTATTCCAACTATCAAAGTCTCATGTGAAAATAATTGATTTGTTGAATGGAAGTGATAACCGAGTCCAGAGATCAATCAATTACCAAATTCCACTAATTACCCAGCTCTATTCACAAGCTATGTTTAGTAGTTAGTAGCTCTTATAAACTCCTTTAAATCTTAGTATTTTAACAAATTAAATATTAGTAAAAAGAAACTGCCAGATGTTCACAACAACAAAAAAAACAACACATTTTCAAACATTTATTTTGACTGAAAAAAATATCTTGAGCAAAAAAAAATTAGTTTCTTTAGACTCTTGAGATTACTTTGGCATATGCTTCTCATTGGAAGTTAAATTATAGCCAATAAATTACAGGAAATATAGTAACAAAATATATTACTATGAAAGTTTTGTATATTAACACACACCAACCCAACTAGGTCTATGGTAACAAATGTTTTATGAATAGAGCTTTACATTACTTTTGAGAGGATAATCTGTCTTGCATATCTCACATTGTAATGACTTATATTATCATCAGAAACTCCACAAGACCAGCAAACTTTGAGTACTAAAGATAGTTGGAGAGTTGCTTCACTGATTCATTTTTAAATAAATGTAGGAATAAAAAAATTAAAAACTATACCACATTAGTAAAATGCACTAAAACAAAAGCTCTGGATATCTGTGGTATCCATATAACTTCACAACAAGTTGCACTAATCATTATACTCCTAAAAATTACTCCACTTCATTTGGTATTAGTCACTGTTTTGTGAAATCCACAGCTGTCCAATGATTTTCAAAGATCTGCTTTTGGTCCAAGGGTAAGAGGGATGGCTTTCATTTCAGTCCTCATGCAGAGAAATTCACCACACACACAAGTAATAGATACACACACAATATTTAAGAGCCACCATGATACGGAATTAGGAAAGGAACTATTATAAATCCAACAAACAATTAAATGGAAGAGGTGCACTGTTGCAGAGAAGTCCAAACATTGCTTTGTCTTTTGTACAAAATACCACAACCCTACTGAACTGTAAGAAAAAAGATAAAATGTTAGAAATATGTTGAAAAATCATCCCATTTTGTTTCATTTTCTAAAGTTTACATATTAATTTTTTTTATAAAATAGAAAAATGCTACAATTTTTTACGCACATGTATGTATTGTTTGTTTTTAGATATTTCAGCAAAGCTATTTAAAGGCTATCTGTCCCTAATTTTGATAGTGAAGATAGTTAGTCAACAGCACTAACTACCAACCCGGACTATTCGCCTGACTGAAAAGTGCATTTGCCATCATTCTTATGATGCACCTGTGGCCCCAAAGTATGAAGCTCAATTTTCTGTTATTGTAGTAACAGGACATGAATAATGGACTACAGATGCTACTAACCACTAGACCACTCTCAGCCCACATACATATAAAATAAAGAAAATGAAGTAATAATCACAAGGATTTTTTTTTAATTACAAAATACCAACAGCTTTTAGTACATAATTTATAAATATGTATGACACTTTTCATTATAAATTTTAAAACTGTTATTAAAAAACACATTAATTTTTCTAAACTTTTCAACTCCATAATGGAATATTTTAAGCAATTTCAAAAAAGAGTATGCCTTAAAACCTTTATATATATGGAACTACACACACAGGGCTAGATTAACCAACAGGTAACTAGGCTGCAGTCTAGGGCCTCCAGTTATTTGGGATCCCCATCTCAACTGCAGTTTTGACCTGATACATGTTGGCCTAGATTTACAAAACTTTCGGCCTATGCTGATAAGTTATATAAATAGTTAAAAAGATTGAATTAAATAAAAATTTACACCTGCAGAAGAAATGTATATATGGGCCCAACATTGTGTAACAGAGCTTTGTACAATATTTAATATATGAAATGCTGTATAATTTGATTCATGCATTGTATGTACGGACATGATTTTGTATGTGATATAAGCCCATTGTTAGAAGGTGTTTAATTGTAATACTTAGGCTATTCCTTCAAAGTGATACCACAGATCTGTGGACTGTGATAAGCTAACTCATTATAAACAAATTGATATTTACATAACACATGTAGGTCTATGGCACCAAAGGCTGTTGCAAAGAAACAAACCATTGCAAAATATTTACAATGAATAGGCTACCTACCTACCTATTTTTCGAAATGTAGACTAACAGGTTTATTGGTTTCAAGTATCTGCTGTTAAAAGTTGTTATGAAAATTTTTTTAGAAACTGTTAGGCTACTAATACTATAGGCATCTATGATGAGTGATAGATGATGTCATTATTCCTGATTCTTTGAACAATCACCATTACAAATATGGTTATAGCAAAAATACACATAGAACTCTAGGTTTGTGAAGAGGTCTCTTTTATCCCATTAATGCATTCCACATAATACATTTGAGTAGACTTCTCAGAAGCACAAAAATAAGGGTAAATAATCTTGCATCTGAAAGGGGCTATGTGTTTTTTGCCACAGATGAAATATTTATTTTCTTCTATTGAAGGCTGGTATACATTTTAAAGTATTGGTATACTATTTAATCACTATATTTTTTTATCTGAAACAAGCCAAGAAAGACCTATTTAAAAATACCATTAGGACTACTCCCTATATATCAAATGATTCAGTTATGATTGGTCCCTAATATTCCAATGTGACATCACTGGCACATCAGTGGCAAGGTGTTCCCTTGCTGTTAAGTGTTAGCATTATGCCTAGTGTAATATATGTGATATTTGATAGTCATATATGTCTTGATAAAGGTTTTATTTACTAATGATACATGACAGTACATTTGAACCACTATACCTGAGATAATTGGTACAGCTGGGGCCAGGGCCCCATGAAACATATTAGGCTAGGGCTTCCATAATTGTTAATCTAGCCCTGCACACACACTCCATGTGGTAAAGGAACTGAGCTGAGACATTTTAAAACAATAACTGTTAAAAGTCATTTATACCAGTTTTACATAAAATGTATTGCAGCAAAAAATCATATAGACCCCTATAAATATTCTTATAAACTAAATTATATAAAATATGTTGGAACATATATTTTTACCACAAAAAAATAAAACGTACTATATATATTTAGTGTGGAATATTTTAAAATACAGAATTTTATAAAGTTTTTGACAATTACATCAGATAAGATGAAATGTATTATCTCACCAACAGTATAAGAATATTTAAAAACCACTAATATGATGCTAACTAATGAGCTTCACACTATGAAGCAGTTGTAAATATTTGTGTTTCAGTGATAGTTAGTCTTTTAGAAGGCAGAATTACAGCTTAGTGCAAGACTAAACAATGAAATGTTCTATTATTATCATGTTATCTATATGCTTTTCAGTAAGTTGCTGACAGAAAGTTATTAAGCAACACAACTTTCAAATAGATCTGCCATAGTAAAATTTTGTGAGTGCTCATAATGTCTTAAGGTATACAGTAACAGCAACTATGTTATTACAAACTGTTGAAAACATTTTTCTTGACACTTGAATTCATTAAAAAAAATTTTTTAAATGATTTATGAAAGCTGGAACTGCTTACTTTTTGGAAACCAGTAAAAACAGATATAGTTTGCATGTTTCATATAAGAGAGCTTTCTTATCAGTAAAGGTGGATGATAGACAGAGATTTAGACATTTTATCACAACTTTTATATGTTTATCATTTTATATGAGTATAATACAGTTAAGGTTCAACCTTACGTGATATAACGTACCAAAATAAAGAATTGATGAGAAAAGATCCTATAATGCATCTCCCATGAATATCCTTCACATGTATTTCCTAAGAAAGAGAGTACAAGGTATATAAATCTTCAAAACAGTACTAATTACCAAACAGATAAATTATACTGTATCATTATGACCAAGATTATATCAAAAGATAATGATACAAAGTTACAGACTGCCACAGCATATAAACACAATATATATTATTTCTCTCTTATGTACTATATTAAATCTTCCACATTCAACTTAAAAAAATTCCTAAATTATTGTGCTATTATGTCCTATACTGTATAAAAAACAGCTATTAGAAAAGCAATGACCCAATCATAAGTAAGATTTAGCTGCTATGTAACATGCAATATATGTTTCCTGTTTTATCTAATTATTGTAACTTAACATGTTTGTTGTACTTTATGATTCCATCAGCACAAGGCTTTAAGTGAAACAACAAAATCTATAATGAAAAGGTAATACCTCACTATTTAATAACTAAAATGTTCATTCAACATATTTAACTTGTGAAAAATTTCATGATCAAAATAAAGTTCAATAATATAGCTAATTGGGTTACATTAGAGATGAACCTACAAAAAAAATACTTTAGAATGGCTTTAAACTTCTGACTCTATCAACACACTGCTTTACACATGTTAATTTCATCTTTTAATATTAGCAATTGGCCTGTGACCTGTATTGTATGCTCTTTTGGGATGTATAGGTTTAAGCTGTTAATCTGTCTGAATTATACTGTCTAGGATTCCAAGGCTGAGAGCAACTTAATTTTCTTTCCCCACTAAGGAAAGAGGAGAATAAATACTGCTGAAAATTACATTTTAAAAATTATAAATACCCACCCAACACTTTCAACATGTGGACCTGTAAAGAATTAAAACTTTATCTGTTGTTTACTAAGGTTTTTGAGACTATGTGCTATTTAATTTTTTAAGATCATTAATACTGACAAAAATTTCCTTATTACTGAACAAATTCATCTAAAGTGATTTGCATGCATATTTCAGCACAATTCATTTTGTTTTCAGTAGGCAAGTTACAATCTATTTCTTTTTTTTTAATTTAAATATAGCAAACAGAAAATTTAATTGTATGGATAAATATTAAATAGGTCACTATGGCTAGATTTAGGTTAAAATGTAAGAAGAACAAGACTGTCTGGTTGGACTTGTGGGATCAGTTCAATGGGAAGAGGGAGCTTTCTGAGAATGGGTTGTTTACATTTAAATAAAGTCTTGACTCACCTGTAAGACAGCTTTAAACTAGGACTAGAAAGTGGTGAGGTCCAAGATAAATTAAATGCAGAAACAATATAATGTAGAAGTAGATAGTGCAAGAATAAAGTACAGCAGTAGTTCTTTAAGAAGTTTAAACTTGCACAGAAAACTTAGAGGATTAAAGAAGATGAACAGAGCACCAGAGAAGTGGGGAGAAGAGTGAGATGAGGTAAGTGCCTATCAGAAATACATTTTCAGTAAAGGAAAACTATAACTTCAGTTACAGTACTTACCTCCCCTCACAATATTAGCTAGAATCCCACACTGAAAAGGAGGAGAGACTGGTAAGAGGGAATGAAAGAAGTATCCCCGAAAGTGTCCAAAGAATCCCCCTGACCATGAGAGATATATATTTGAAGATCAAAAGAGGGGAACCACACCACTTCTGAGCCAGGTATATTCTTCGCCCCTGTGTAGTGTGTTTCATGGACAAGGGTGAAAAT